TTTCACATTACCGTCATGGGTTTTCACTTTTAGGCAAAGAATCCTAAAACACCTGGCGAAACTCCTGATCCAATCACAGCTTAACTCTGGAAGCCATCAGCAGGAGCCATTCATCATGCTTTGTTCAATGTCACTCTGTTGTATTAGGGTCACCATGAAGAATAAGCAAACATACTGGATATCAACCATCAACCAGAAATGTCTGCAGTAGCTACGCTGAAAATAATTAGCTCCAATGTCCACTCATCTGTGACGTCTTCCAACTATGTTAATCTGCAACAGATTAAAAAAAAGAGAATCTGGACAACAGAAACATCATTACACTCACTATTTCATTGATTAAAGCTACAATATTTGTACACGTATTTATTTTAGTTTGAAAATGTGGTAAATGTGCATACTGTTTGCAGTTTTGCACATGTGAAACAGACTTCGTGTTTAATGAAAACTATTACTTTGCCATCAAGCTGCTGGTTGTAATGTAATGATCTCACTTCGGTAAAAGTGAAAAATAAACTGTTTAAAGATGTTTAATTACATCATTAAACATTGTTTAATTTTTTCATTTTAAAAAACATTTTTCCTATCCCAAAGACAACTATAAGTAAGCCATTTGTATGTTGATATCCAGAATTTTCTCTGCTTTGACTGAAAAAATCCAGTATGAAGCGCTTAGTGAATCTTGGGATAGGCTATTGGCTGTGAACTTGTTCTATCATTCGCAGTCCCGGAAACAAACGACACATTTGTAGGCTGCGTTTGAAGAAGCCTCTGAATTAGAATGGCCTTCATCCCACCGCTGTGCCGCTTTCGGCCTTCGAATGCAGCCTCTGAAATGGGGCCCTGTCCCAAATGGCACACTTAATGTGCACTTGAGGTTTTTCCTTACAATGGCTGCTGCCTGCGTGTGTTTGTTAAATTCACAAGACCAGAGGGTGTCCCATTTGCCATTTTAGGTTTCAGAAAGGTGCTCGCGAGTGCCCACTTTGCGGCCGATATGCGCCCTTGATGCACACTTTTGCCGAGCCATAATTCTACCCGACAGTCAAAGCGGGATTACATTAAGAAAGTGAGGCCTAAGAGGAAGGTCACGAGGGCTTGAGGTTCAATTTAGTACAGGGTCTGGGGCTCTTTTAAAACATTGCTCCATTTGTTTGTGCATTAGCATAGTTGTTCAACCAATGTCGTGAATTTGGGGTGGGGCAATCAGTTTTTCTGACCAATGGCTCAATGACGTCATATTTACAAGTAGGAAACTTGGAATTCTTGACGATACACGAGTTGCGAGTGATGTTGGAAGGGGCGTGTCGATTTTTGAAAAATGTTGGATATACATGTTAATGTATTCTACGTGGCATTGATCCAACAAGGTGCTGAAAGCATTCTTTAGAAATGTTGGCCCATATTGATAGGATAGCATCTTGCAGTTGATGGAGATTTGTGGGATGCACATCCAGGGCACGAAGCTCCCGTTCCACCACATCCCAAAGATCTTCTATTTGGTTGAGATCTGATGACTGTGGGGGCCATTTTAGTACAGTGAACTCATTGTCATGTTCAAGAAACCAATTTGAAATGAATCGAGATGCATTCTCCTGCTGGAAGTAGCCATCAGAGGATGGGTACATGGTGGCCATAAAGGGATGGACATGGTCAGAAACAATGCTCAGGTAGGCCGCGGCATTTAAACGATGCCCGATTGGCACTAAGGGGGCTAAAGTGTGCCAAGAAAACATCCCCAACACCATTACACCACCACCACCAGCCTGCACAGTGGTAACAAGGCATGATGGATCCATGTTCTCATTCTGTTTACGCCAAATTCTGGCTCTACCATCTGAATGTCTCAACAGAAAGAGACTCATCAGACCAAGCAACATTTTTCCAGTCTTCAACTGTCCAATTTTGGTGAGCTCTTGCAAATTGTAGCCTCTTTTTCCTATTTGTAGTGGAGATGAGTGGTCTTCTGCTGTTGTAGCCCATCCGCCTCAAGGTTATTCATGTTGTGGCTTCACAAATTCTTTGCTGCATACCTCGGTTGTAACGAGTGGTTATTTCAATCAAAGATGCTCTTCTATCAGCTTGAATCAGTCGGCCCGTTCTCCTCTGACCTCTAGCATCAATAAGGTATTTTTTGCCCACAGAACTGCCGCAGTTTGATTACACACTTTAAAAAATGATGGGTTGTTTTAACCCAATTGTGGGTCAAATATGGCCACAATCAATATAAAAACTCAACATTGGGTAAAAAATTTAATAAAAAAAAAATGCAACCCATTGTCTGGGTTTGTCCCTATTTGACCCAAATTTGGGTAAAAACAACCCAGCATTTTTAGAGTATATTAGTCACACTTCGAATTGAAATGGATGTTAACTCACTGGTTTTGTCCAAGTAACTGTAATGCTTTTAGGATAAATCTTCTTTTTTTATACCACACAAAAATAACATGTAAGCTTGTACGTCAACGACAAAGGAATTAAAGCTGTCGAAACTCAGTTGTTATCCTCAGTCTATGGGACAGGAAAACAGTGTGCGCGCGGGAGGTACAAGAGGTGAGGAAGAAAGCACAGAATTTACGACATTCCTCCCAGTGTGTAACAAACCACAGGAAGGTGTGAACAGCACACCAGCTTCGATCCGCTACCTGGCAATGAATAGGACACCGCCGTCCACGGTCACTGCAGGAACCCTTGACGTGTCTTGACATTCGCCTGTCAATTCCAGTGGCTTAGTGGGTGGCGCTGGAGAAAGATTGTCCTGTTTGACAGCAGCTATTTCGCTAATCCAAAACAACAGCTGTAAGGTAGAAATGAGCAAGATGGGGGCTTAGAAGGAAAGGGTAAATTAAATCCTCATGTTGTCGAACAGAGATGGAAAATAGCACGAAAAAAAAAAAAAAAAAAAAAAGATTTTGGGGGAGAATCAGAAATAAGAATCTGATGTAGGCAATTGGCAGGACTAAGCTCACGTTGGTGACAGACTTTTCTCAGCTTGTCTACAAAAGAAGCGTAGCTCTGGGCCAATGACACACAAGGAAATGAGAGCGAAGTTTGCGCGGTTCATGCGGTCTCTGAGGAGCAAAAGGGCAGCGGTGGGGCTGCACATATTAGCATCTACATGGGAGACTGTCATAGGACAGGTGAAAATAATTACTACTACTAGCTTAGCGAAGCTCATTACACATCTGGTTGAGTTTTGGGGGAAACTAGTGTAGGGGTGGTCCTCTCACAACAAGGAGAATGCCCTGTTAGCACAACACATTGCTAAATGTCCGCCCCCAGTATGCAAACCTAGCGTTTAGCATCTTCCTGAATGTGGGTTCTCCTTCCAGAGAAGAACCCAGATCAGATTCAAAAGCTTCTTTCAACTGAGCGTCACTAATCAATGGAATGCCTGTAAAATTGATTCATTAGTTCATTAGCCTTCATCAGGATACAGAAGGGATTGTGCCAGTAGGAAACCACAGATGTACATCCTTGAGACAGACCTATCTGCCAAAACTGATAAATCGGTTTTTGAGATGTTCCCTTGGTGACAGTATTGGCAGAGCCCAGAAGGGTTTCCTTTGTGGAAGTGCATACATTTCAGTTCAAGAGTGGAAAGACGAAAGCACAGTTTGTGGACCCTGCCAAAAAGTAAATTAATAAACTAACTGAGGCATCAGCTGAGTGAGCCAGTGTTGTCAAGCACAGATCTCGAATTCATTAGCTTGTCGATAGAGCCATTTGACAAAATGATCCTCTATATAACATCTCTTTCTTTTACACGGGATCAGTCTGTGATGTTGTTGAAATGTTTAATACAACCAGAACAGTGCATACATACACAGTGCTAAGGTGTTGCTACAGTGCTAAGGTGTCGCCAAGTGGTTTCCATGGTGTTGCTAGATACTTGGTACCTGGTATTTGGCCCAATGTCAAATGATTTTATGGTTTCTAGATGACTTCAATATAAGTGCGATTTTAATAGATATACATGTATAGTTGTAATCAAAAGTTTACATGCCGCTTGCGGAATCTGCAAAATGTTATTTATTTTGACAAAATAAGAAGGAGCATACAAAATGCATGTTATGGTCATAAAATTTAGTACTGTCCTGAATAAGATGTTTCACATAGTCCACAAGCCGGGGGTGAAAACTTTTGAACAGGATAAATATATGTCCAAATTGTTTCTTATTTTGTTTAAATATATATTTGTTTAATTTATTACAGCCCCTTTGGAAGCAACAAAATATACTTACATGTTTCTCAAAAGACAAATTAAGTAATTTACCTTTTTTTTGTCTTGTGGATTACATGTAAACATCTTTTATGTAAAAAAAAATCTAATTCAGGACAGTACTAAATAAAAAAAATTGTATTTAGCATTTTGTATGATCCCTCTTATTTTGTGTAAAAAATTAACATTTTGCAGATTCTGGATGGTGTATGTAAACATTTGAGTGTGATTGTATATGAGTAAAAAAAAAACAATGCTTACCTTATCATCATTTATTTTAGTAAAAATCCAGAATTAATTTCTCACAGAGGATTCTCACAAGAAAACTTGAGTTTAAATGTCTTAACACATCCACAGCATTCTTTTAATGTCTGTCTTTTGTTTTGGAATTCCAATTTCATAATTTTAGGTCATGTTTTCTTTTGTCATTCACGATGTCTTTTTACCCATATTTATCTAAGGAAGAGATAGTTCACCCTAAAATTAACATTCGATTACCATTTATTCACCCTTGCATGTGTGGAGCACAAAAGGAGATACTTTAAAGAATGTTTGAGAATGTATACAGTATGTACAAACACTCAAAGTCAATGGGGCCCAAAACAACACTGGAGCCCCATGGCTTTCATTGTATGGATAAAAAAAAAAACATTCTTCCGAATTATTTCTTTTGCATTCAGCAATAGAAAGACAAACATGCAAGTTTTGAATGATTAAGGTTGAATAAAAATGTTCTAATTATCCCTTTAAATATGCATTTAAAATCAGACAATTAAATTAACATACCCTTAGTACTGCTGTTTGGTCACAATCATCCAGCTTGACGGTCTCGTGAGGTTTTTGAAGATGTGACCATTCAGAGGTGATTGTGCAGACATGGTTTCCCTGGCAACCAACACAAAGCAACGCATGCATCTTGGACATAAGTAGCAACAGATGCTGCGCTGACCTCAGCCACTTCCTGGAAACACAAATTTGTCAAAATACGAAAAATAAAGCAGTTAGATTAATGCAGAAGGTCCTTCACTCAGTGTTGGAGAGGATTCAAGATTGTGCTGTAGTACTCCGTGGTTTTTACTAGATGTATACAAAACAAGATGAACAAATGAAGATGGACGAAAAAATCTAATTTAAACAACTGTTTGGACGGAGTACTGAGTGAATATAGTGGGACTGCGTAAGAAACTCAGCCAGAAACTTGACTTGCAGGTTCGACCAAAGAAGTGATTCCTTCTGAAGCAAATCCTTTGAAGTCTCCATATATTTATCAAATTATGATTTCTTTGGCTCGGAGGAAAGTGTACTTGTATGAAGCAACACTGTGTTCATTTGATAGAGCCAACACGTGCACGAGAGCAACAGCTGGACATCCCTATTCGAAATTTTCCCCCTTGATTTTTGTCTTGAAAACATCTTAAAGGCCTCCAAGCTAATTGTAGTCAAATTTCCCTGCCACGTAATGTTGATGGCAGACACTGCACACTTGCTGAGTCCATATGGCCACAGTCCAGGGCAGTTTGTACTAGTGATAACGGCACACTTTGATAAGAGCGCTCCAGTGCCGTGGCGTAATGCCGCCATCTCAATGCCCTGGCCACGGCCAAGGAAGCAATCACAGTATCACAGGAAAACTCTGACCGCATGATATCACCTTCAAAATGGAGGAAACACGGACCGGCACACTCACATGTGATCAATTATTTCACAAAAACTTATGCGGGGAATTTCAGCCATTAGCTCCAAAGTGGGATCGTGGCCAGGGTAATGGCGGCTCCCAGAATAAACACATTTGGGTAATAGGTCACAAGGAACAGACATGCTCGTTTTAGGACCGTTACGTGTCTGAGCGTGTGGCGTAGTACGACGTTAAGCAGTCGTAATTGTCGTAGGCCAGAGGCGCTTCCAATATCCCGATTGCCATGACCTTAATGGCTTGGATAATTGAAACCAAGATATCACCACAAACGCAGTGCCATCCCGATCCACCAGTCTTGTACGTAACACCCACAGTGATGGATGATGAAACTACGCAACAGCTGTGGGACGCGTTCCCGCTCTTGAAAGTCCCCGTCCGGCTGTGGTTTCATCCTGTTGTTGTGTTTATTCTTGCAGCGCAGCCAGGCCTTAGGGCCCAGAAGGTCTTGTTTCTCAAGTGCAAATCAACTCTCCACAGAGCTGATATCAAAATAGTTTAAAAAGAAATCGTCTGATAGTTCCCAGCGAGCGAACCCACCAAATGCTTCCAGATTCCTCGGCTCTGACAGTATAAACAACAACACACTGGGAAGGACTTTGCACACTGTGTCAGACTGGAAGTTAGTAGAACAATGAGGGTGCAAATTTGCTGAATCCATTTTCCTAACCAATGCTTGTCAGATTTGAAGGAGAAACTAAGTTGATTCAATGGTTTCCAAAACATGTTGCATGGTGGGTGGCTTCACTCCAAAGGATACATTTCAAGGTCTTTTGTGGGTTGGAATCCAGGAACTGGAATAATATGGAGATGCCGGAGCTGAAAGAAAACATGTAGTCCTTTTTATAATAGTGCAAAAACAATTACTAATTGCAAAAGAGCTTTATTTCAGAGCTTTGAAGAGCTCATAATGAGGTAATATGGGCCTACTGGCTATGAGCAGTGGTGACCTGTGCAATGAACGATTATCACCTGGCGGATGATAAAACAGCGGAAATAGACCTGCATTAAAGGGGGCCACTTCTCGTTTCTTACTTTAAGTTGATCTCAGAAGGAAGCATTGTGTTAAAGGTTTAGTTTACCCAAAAATTCTGTAATGACTCACCCTCATGTCATTCCGAACCAGTAAGACATTCGTTCATCTTCGGAAGACAAATTAAGATATTTCGATGAAATCCAAGAGCTTTCTGATCCCCTATAGATGGCAATATATAGACGGCAACATTATTATCACTTTCAAGGCCCACAAAGACATTGTTAAAATAGTCCATGTGATTCTAGTGGTTTTTTCTACCTTATAATTTTATTGACTGACAAGGTATATTATATTTATTAATTATATATATATGATTTCTGAAGAATCATGCGACACTGAAGACTGCAGTTAAGATCCTAAAAATTCAGTTTTGACATCACAGGAATAAAATACATTTTAAAAGATAATTAAATAGAAAACTATTATTTTATTTTATAATAATAATGTTACAAAATTATGTTTTTTACAGTACTTTTGATCTTATAAATAATACATATATTTTAATTAGACTTTAGACTTCAGAACAGTAATTATTATTAAAGGGTTAATTCACTCAAAAATGAAAATGATGTCATTAATGCCTCACCCTCATGTCGTTCCAAGTCCGTAAGACCTCCGTTAGAACACAGTTTAAGATATTTTAGATTTAGTCCGAGAGATTTCAGTCCCTCCATTGAAAATGTATGTACGGTATAATGTCCTTGTCCAGAAAGGAAATAAAGACATCATCAAAGTAGTCATGTGACATCAGTGGGTTAGTTAGAATGTTTTAAAGCATCGAAAATACATTTAGGTCCAAAAATAACAAAAACTACGAATTTTTTCAGCATTGTATTGTCTTGCGGTTCTGTTGTCAATCCACTTCAGTGACGGAGCTGACATGCATCTGGTGTGTCTATGTATTCTGGCTTCAAATAAATGTGGCTGGGCAAAAAAATGCAAGTCTTCCTCTGTGTCGAAATCCTCAGACATGTTTGCCAATATTGAACCAACCCTTTAATTAAAATAAGTAATATACAAACAAACACAGGGGTGTCTGGAAAATAATAATAAAATCAAGCTACAATATTTTTTTTATTTAGAAAAATGACTCAATATAAAAGACTGACATTGTATACAACATTAATACTCAAAATTAGGTATTTACCTGAGTGACACATTTGACATTTTTTGTACATTTTTAGAAATGTAAAAACACCGGTGACACTGGTATCAAACAAATCTGTTAATAAAATGTTAATGAAATCATTACTAACTAAACAACTAACTGTTTTTATGTCATAAATTACACAGCCTGTTTACTAAAATGTTTGAAAATGTATATCTGCATGTGCTATTTTTAATGTGCATCATCACTGTCATTACATCTCCTGTCCAGGGTTATCTTTTCGTCTACCACTCATCTCAGGCCTAGATGGACAATGCACAACAGGGGTCTCAGAGGTGAAGGCCAAGGATAAGCAGAGGAACTTTCCACCATTTTCTCTCCCCTTATTTATTTTTGTCTGTGTTGTTTTCTCAGTATTGCAATGCATCACTTGACATTACCCAAGCAAGTTTGAGCAGCAGAGTATCAGCTGAAAGCAATTTGGTACCGAGCGCAGCTGCCAGGCGGATAAGACTCTCCCTCTTTCGTTTACTTTGAAATGCAGCTTTTTTTTTTAACATCCAAAATACACAAGGCAGCCAAATTGCTGACATGTGTGCGAGGAGCAGTGAAATCCTGCATTCTTCCATGCCCCTCTATGCAAAACTCCCCATTGTTTATTTAAAGAACACAGAACACTTTAGCACTATTAAGAAACATGTCATATAGTAAACTAAAGGTTTCCTCCCAGGAAAAATCCCTCGTCGTTTATTTTTCTTTGCAAAAAGTTATTTTACTTAGTATTCGCAAACTCACCGCATACACAATTAAAACCATGGTGGTTGTAATTGGGTTGTGTACGGCTGGACACTAACAGGCAAGGCAAACGTGGAAGTGAGGTGCTTATTTGTGTTCAGGAAGTTGGACGGGTGGACTGGACTTCATCTCTCATTCACATCACATCACATCAGTGTTCACACAAAACACCCGAACCACGCAGTTACCTGGCATGAACCGGGGACTCGCTTTCAAAGTGCGGGTCTGCTTCAAACCTCGGCTACTGTCTGTGCCGATCATGTCCATAAACTGGTCAACTAATCTCAGCTCATTTACATATAGTCATTGATTGTATTGGCTTGTCACATGGATTTCCCATAGTGATGCACTTAATTAAAATTGCCTAACCAAACCCACAGGGACAAAGAACACGAAAACAAAAATGCTCATTTTAAATTTAAAGCATTTGTTAAACTATATCACTGTGAAAAATTCAAATGATTACATTAAAAGTATTACTTATTTAAAGGGGCTATTGTTATAGATCAACTGTTCCCTGATGCACTCCATACTGCATTCACACACACATAGTCCAGCCATATGACTCAAAACTACAATTCCCAGCATTCCTCCAGCACTTGATCCACACATTTAAGCACACACACTCTGGTCTACCTGAGAGAGTTATCCTCTAATGTTTTTCCAAGATCCTGTCTCCTAGCTCCCTCGTCTGTTCTTCACCTTCAGTGGGACGCCAGTGTTCCTGCAATCCTGTAAAACAAAGACATTGTTTGTTATTCATTTACTCAAACAGCAACCCCAGACGGCAACATAGTGTTGGCCCAGATCCGGGTGTGTATGTGTATGTTTTTGTGTATGTTTCATAACAATAAACATAAAATTAACACTAAAAGTAACTTTTAAGTTAATAATAAATAAAAAAAATCACTGCAGCAATAATTTGCCAAGTTCCATCTTTAAAAAGATCAAATTTAAGTCTATGCTCTAAAGCATTCAAGATTTACGACAGTTTAAGTTGGAAATTTCATTTTCAAAAAGTGATTAAATTTATTATAAATACAGCATAAATTTAATTCCATCAAATCCCCTAAAAACACAAAATAATAAATAAAAACATTATCAAACAAAAATTTTTGAATAACACGTGAAGAGCACCAGAGGGTTAATTCTGTTGCCGTTACTACTACGTTACTACTAAAATAAGTGTATAGACCAGGGCTGACGATATAACATGTTAAAACAATAATTTTAAATGAACACATTTAATCATACCCAATGAACCATAAAACTACACTTAACAAGGCTGTACGACATTCACAATTGTATGGAAGCAGCAAACAGGAAGCAGAATTGCCATTTGAATTCTAATGTAAGGAATAATGGCCATTGCTTGGGAATTCTGGGTCTGTGAATTTATATTGCTATTGGGCCCCTTATTCTCTGTTGGGCAGAGCGTTGAGGAGAGGAGGTGGCGCGTTCGTCCCCAAGAGTTAGTCCCACCATTCATTAGTGACGATCCTAGGAAAGTATACTATACTATCCCTATACTCCTAATGGTAGCTGGCGAGGTTTGTCTTTACTTTATGATAGAATATGGAAGTCTGACTTTTTTCCCCCTTGAATATTCCTGAATGAATTTGAATCAAATAAACGTTCATTTAGTTTCAGCAATTATGTCTATGAGAAACCCATATGGGTCGACCACCGTTTGTGAGTCAAGTTCTGTTAGTTGTAACAGCAAAGATCGCTATACGATCCGTTGTCATTCAGCGTTAATCTAAATAGCTGGTGGAAGTGGAGAGGGCTGGAAGGTCACGGTAAACAAGAAAGAAGTCATGAGACCTGATGAATATGGTTGTAATCATGTCAAAAGCACTGACCTTTACATTGAGTGACAAAACTGAATTGGATTCAGGATCCTTCTAGCAGCTAAACACTTCCAGCTTTCCTGTCACTGAATGAGGTCTGCAGTGTAAATATAATCTGAACCTTTAACACACCGACACACAGCGAGATCATGAACCGATCCTCACATCCTTCTTTTGATTTCCAGGATGGCTGAGTGAATCCATCATAAACAGAGGAATTCATTCTTCATTACAGTGTGCAGAGGTCTCTCCAGACAATGTGCTGTGGAGAATTCAGAGTCTTTCTCATTCTCATGTCAAGCGCCAAGACTATTGTGTCGTCCAACCAGTGACTAAGCGCTTGACTTCCCTGGATTTGCCGCTTGTTCCCAGTGAGCAGCTGCAGTAGTGTGGCTTTCAGGAGTAAACAGGATTTTTCCGACCCACACTATCCTGTGGTTACCTGGAACAAACACACCTCCTTTGACTCGTGGCTTTGCTTGGACATCCGGGCAGCATGCGGAAACACAGGGGTTCTGTTGAATGGAAGAAACCCTAAATAATGTCGCAGAGCAAAGCTGGAAAACTCCACAGAAGCAATGAATGACGTGGCGGTCAAGACCCAATGAGTCAATAAAACCTGGAAGGAAGGTACAAAAAACAAAATGAGGAAAGGTGTATACAGTACACATGAGAAGGTTTAAAAAAATAAAGTTCATTATGGGATGAACCAAAGTAAAAGGTTAAACTTTGGAGCATTTTTAAAGTCCTCCTGTGGTAAAATAAATCAAGTTTTTAAATGTCTGTGGTGTTTTTTATTATGTTTTAAGACAAACCGTGTGAAAATTCATAAATCAACACCATTGCTGAGTATTTTCTCCTTAAAACTGCAGTGAACCAAATACAGTCTCAAAACCGCAGTTTAAAATCGCTGGTGTTTCTGACGTCACAAACTTGTAACCAATCAGGGATGCGTTTCCTTAAAGCATCGTTAGCCAACTATGGTCGCAAGTTCCGTCGTTATCAGCATAGTTCAACGAGTCGGTGTTTCCCGAAACCATCGTTCCAATGAACATTCGCAAACAGCATCGCAAAGTTGTGTGGTTTGAACGACAGCTCTCGACCTGTGGTTAGAGGCATCGTTTGTATATTGCATCACATTTGTACGTAATAAATCCTTATCTTGAGAAAAATAACCAAGCTGACATTCAGTACAACCGATGCCTTTTATTTAGAATACATACAAATGGAATTTACGTCTTTTAGTTTTTCAAAAGATTTAAAGTACAGATTTTGCGCATGTGCGAACGTGCTCTACTATGTAAGAACGAGCCAAATATTGAGTCTGGTAATAAAGCAAATTTGAAATAGTCCTCAGATGACACGTCTGTAATTTATATATTTTTTTAAAAATTGCGTTAATTGGATCTCAAACAGTTTCATTAAAAGTAGTTATTACTCCACCATGTGCGAAACCAATGTGGTTGAATGATACTTTGTGACAATGCGTTTTGGGAAACAGCCATGACTAGCTAGTTGATTTCTCCAATGATGCATCGTACTTCTATGGGAAACGCAGCCCAGGTCAACGTGTGATCATCAACGAGTGGATCTCTGAGCTGGAGTGAGTGAGTGGAAGTGGGGCTAACTTGCATATTCATTGAACCACACATACTAAATGTGCCAAGGGTGTAGATTTACAGTACATTCAAGCTATTTTAAGGCATGAAGACATTTTCAAAGGAAAAAAACGTTTAAATGTGTCGTTTTGGTGATCAAAGATAAGTTTTAAGGGATACAATTATTGACTAAAGGGAGACTTTAAGTTCATCAGAGAATTCATGCAAGACCTGCTGCAATGGGGAAGATTTTCCGTGAAGAATTTTATTGTGGTCTGGTTTAGTACTGGTCTAATTGGTTGACCAGCATGGTCTCTCTGGTGAAATTGGTTAACCAAGGAACTATGGATAGGTAGGATGCTGCCCACCAACTATGCATGTTTCGTAATAAGTTTGGTTTATTTTTTCTTTCTACCTTTCTTTCTTTCTTTCTTTGCTAAGTGGCAAGCCTGTTAGGATTCAAACCATGCTGAAAAAATAAGTAATTTTAAATTAATTCATCAATAATAATAATAACAAATGTTTTCAAAAATTCTAAATTCAAGTGTAATTAAGTCATGACCATGTAATTTAAACCATGTCCATATATCATGACTCAGTTTGACGCATACACACAGTATTTGTAGGTGGAGAGATGGATTGAAACCATGGTCAACTATGGAAACATTAGATAAAGAAAGTCATGAAAATGGACAATAGAAGGTGAAGGGTCTGGGACTCCCAGAGCTCAGCAGCGTGTGGATCACATCCAGGGTTGGAGAGGGAGGTGGTCCACAGTGACTGACGGCCCACCACAGCCCAAGAAACTCGAGTTGCAGGGAAAGCTTAACACACCTTGACATCCATAGGAAACTCAAGCCCAGCTCCGAGCAGAGTCAGATACGTACCACCAAAGGAGCTCGGCCGCACCGCTCAGTACAGCTTTTAACTCAATCTGTTTAGATGAGCGCACAGAAGAAGAATGTCTCCATCCTGCACCTCCTCCCCTTCACGCTCTCTCCAAAAGCCCTGAAACCACATACACAAATGCATTAAAATGACATGTAGGCAGATACGTATGGGAAATGAGCAACTGCCTTCAGGAAGCATTCAGTGCAGTGCCAACCAGTGAGCTGACATGAGATCTCGCTGTTTGCTTGGGAGAAGCAAATATATGCTGTTGCCTGCAAGACAGTGCCAAGATGTTTGGAGAAATCAAGGAAATAACCCTCCAGGAATGTGTCGGCATGGACAAAAAGACAGTGAAGAGATTGAATAAAAAAACTGCAGAGGCTTGTTTGATGATTGCATGCATTGGCTGGAGAGCCTGCATGATGTAACTCCATCTCAGAAAGAAAAAGAAAAATCAAAGGAGTGGATGGAAAGATAGTCCGCAGGATTCTCTCAAGAGTATATGGCGAGTTTAATTGCAATGCAGCTAAAAATAATTTACGATGTCATTACTTAACCACCATGTCGTTCCAAACCCGTATGATGTTATTATTTTCTTGTGTGACCTAAAAAAAAATTTAAAAATAAAATGTCACGTTATTCATGTAACGTGCACTACATTTAAAATCTTTTCACAGTGGTGTCATGCACCACGTGGTTGTGGTTTTTGAAATATGATTAGCAAGCATATTTTGTTGAATGGAAAAGAAGCTGCTTTGCCATTTTAATAATTTTCTTTTGTGTTTCAGGTACACCAGTTGGAAAATCCCGAATAGAGATTGATATTTAAGAGCTGCAGTGGATGGGAAGATTTTCATTAAATAACTTACTCAATTTCTCACATAATGATGTATGACTTCAGAAGACTTGGAATAGCGCACAAGAAACATGAACAACTTTGTTCTTGGCTTTTTTTTTCTTTTTGAAGCACTTTCTTTTTTTGTGGTCACTGTGAACTGTCGTTATGTGAAAAAGTGAACTGGGAAAGAAATAGCCCTAAGAAAAAAAAAACACCAATGACATGAGGGTGAATAAATGATGACAAGGAGTTTAATTTCTGGATGAACTATCCCCTGAACATCTCAGTTCTGTCATCATCGGCCAAGTCTTGCCCATGGGATACCGTGATTATTCTCCCTTCATTGAGCAAACCAATGAATCGAGGTTGAAGTTTCAACAAACAATGCCGTATATAACACTGCCCTTCTGACAAGAAATGAGGGTAAGGAGTGAGAGAGAAAAAAAACAGAAAAGGATTTGGTGCTTGCACGAACCAGGGCTGTAAATAGTCCTGAAAGCTGTATATCAGAAGGAGAAATGGGAGGCTGGTCACGAGCCAAAACAAACACAGGGCTGGCCCAAGAGGATCTGCACCGCTGGGCCCGTTTTCCTCCTTTTCAAATCCCGAGCCCCATGCCCTCATCTGCTGCCCTACTCCACATCCCCTCAGCTGTCAACAGCTGGGCCTGTCATTCACTGGAACCTCTTTTAAAGAGCAATCAATCACTCCACTATTTGTTTATCAATCTATATACAATATGAAGTCAAGTATGGAGCCTCCAGCTAGGCTTGTTGCATTCAAAGCATGCGTACACTCCAGAGGACTCAATGTAAAAACGGCCATGTTAGGGTGGATGGAGCTCTGCAATTATTTATGGAAAAGTGTGGCGACACCTGCAGGAAGGTCGGGATGCGTTTAGACGTCGCGTGTAATCACATAATTCAGTAGGCTATCGGTTTACAAAAGATTTGTGACGGACTGACACTTTTCAAAAACGTTAACAGCCCAGTGCAATGTCGTAGCCTATAATGCAGAAAATTCAGAAAAGGAACCGACAGGCGACAGCTTTCCATTTCAACACGTGCGTTCGCGACAACGGTTACTGCAAAGAGCACGCGATTGATAAAAAAGCAAAATATGACCGTTTTCTACCGTTGCTCAGGTGTGGTCAAAATGTTACACACCTGTGCCGTCTTGTCCAGGTTTTAACACCAGTTTTGGTTGTAAAAAAAAAAAAAAAGAAAAAAAGAAAAGCCTACACATGCCGTTTTGAATGCAAAGAGCTAAGAAGATATCAGTTATATCAGATTTTTTTTTTTTTTTAAGCAAGGATTAGTAATGTTAAACCATCACTGGAGGTCCAGGGATGGTGCGCAGACATGTTAGTCAGCTGAGTAAAGCTACAAGCACTTCTACATTCCTCTTATTTTGTAATTAATCTATTTAATATCTTAATCATTCTAACCACAAGAATTATCTACAATGTATCCATCCATATAAGAGAATACCCATCCATAGAAGAGCATCTTAAAGGGACAGTACACCCCAAAAATTTTTATATTTTGTCATTATCTTTTTCTTCTTCTGTGAAACACAAAAGGAGAAATTTTGAAGAATGTACCGCTCGTTCTTTTACACTCAATTATAATAACTGGGAAAAACAACTTTTAAACTTAAAAAAAAGCATTAAAAAATGCATAAATCCCTACATGTCTGAACGAACAACAGCGACATCCCCAGGTAAAGTTACAGCAGGTGTCCGCATCTCTCTTGCCTCCCCTGGGTCCATTGATTTTTAACAGATCCCCTAATGCGATCCCTGGGTTTGGTTCGGGGTATGGGGGAAAGTCACATGAGAGGAGGCAATGCCTCCATCCAGATATGATTAGGATATAATCAGTTATGATTGGATATGATTGGTTCATGCGATAAATCCCGCCTCTTGTTTTCGTGAGCATTTGCAAATCAATCTGAATGAACACTCATAATAAACTATAGATATCACCACTTTATGTCACTCAAAATTAAACTTGAAATGGCATGAAAACATGATGACTGTAGGGGGTTTTAGTGAGCAATCTGCTTAGTGAAATTACAGATATGGAGCTTGATGAATGGTTTTTCAAAAATAAGTTATTAAAAAGATCAGCGAACATCAGTTCACAAATAAAATACATTGTTAAATGTGTTACTGTTGATAAGATCTATACTTGGTTTTGGTCAATAGAACAAAAATACAAAATAGAATTGTATTTGGTTTTTCTTTTTAACCTGGAAAATATGACAACATTAAGTGTAACTGGAATATCAATTTACATTTCATTAACTTTGCCGCCTCATTTCAGTCACCACTGCACACCACTGATGGGCACAAAGTAAAAAGAAATTGTGTATTGATGGATCTGCAATGTAAAATGTGTGCTCTGAAGAAAAACAGACAGAGTAGCAGATAGATAACAGATAGATATCATAGCCACAAATTAAGATTAGTTCCCACAATTTATTCATTTGCACCCATGCTTATAAATGAATCCCATTTTAGATCACTAGTGGTACTAACCATGTTGTACTAATTCGTTAACAAATCCTTTGTATACCTTTGTATGAGCATATTACGGTTGTACCTACCTTATAACAAACAGTCCCTTTTTTTTAGTGGAGACTGTCAAGGTGTTCAGAGTGTTTCTTGTATACTGCCAACTGCCATTTGAGTTTGCATGTGTTCATGACTAAAATCACTCTGCCTTGTCAAACACATGACATTAATCCCATTAAAAAGCAGGGCTCATTATAGTTATGGTATGGATCAAGTGGTGCGTTATCCTGCAATATGCATGTATTGTTACACACGGTGACATCTGGAGCGCTAGTCTACAGACTGTGGCAGCCTGTGTATTTTACTTAGACCTGCATGTGAGTTCAAAGCCACTCGAGTGAGAGGCCATTTTAAGTGGAAACATGAAAGCGCCTCTCAACACGCCAAATCAGAGACAAGGAGAAAGCTTCAAGTAAACATATAACATGCGGTCTTGCTGCAAAACAGACACAACAAGGAGTTAAAGCTACAGTTAGACGCATACATCAAGACAAAACCACAATCGATAGGTTGTTTCAACATATCACGCAGGTGGTAGGTCCTGGTTCTGTGAGGCCTCAGAACAGGTCATAGCTGACGCTTCATAACATCGTGTCCCCTGGCTCGCGTACAAGTGGTCTGATGACTGAATGATAAGGTTACGCTAGGCAACAAGTGGTTTGTGCACATCAACGCCTCAAATATTTATTTGATCCTGTCAAAGTCTGTGGCGAACAATAGGAATATTGACAGTTTTGGGACGAGAATGAGCTAGTTTGTTTGAGTGTTTTAGCACCATGGACTCCCGTGCGGGCTGTTGCTTTGTGAAAGTACAGTATTGTATTTCTTTCCGCTGCCAAAGCGTGCTTCCTGCACCGGGGCCTAGTCGACCAACACTGACCTCCATTTCCTTTGTTGAGGTCTGAACTAGCGCTGCCACGAGCCCCCGGGCCCTGCCTCCAGACTCAGGCCTCCCTGCGCGGACCTGCGAAGCGGCCCAGGTCACCGTCACCGCTGGCGAGGTTTCCTGCGGGAGTCTGTAGATCGGACCGCACCTTTGGATATCTAGAGGGAATTTTGCAGTTAAGACACTTTTGGCTCAATGACAACAATGGTGCTTGACTTGCTAGTTCTTAAAGGGGTAGTTCACCAAAAATATCATCCCAAAAATCTTTATGCCTTACATGGAACACAAAAAAAGATGTTTTGGAAAATATCTAAACTATTGGATATTATATTGGATATTGTCTTTTTTATGTTCCATACAATTATAGTCAATGGGGACCAATGTTGTTTGTATCTTTTGTGTTCAGCAAAAGAAAGAAACTCATACAGGTTTGAAACAACACGAGGGTGAGTAAATGACGGCAGAATATTTGGGTGAACTATCCCTTAAGTAGTAAAACACACTGTAAAAAAAAAATAATAAATAAAAAAATAAATATTGAGTACTGTCAACTTGGGAGTTTAAGTTACTTCAAATTAAATTACATTAAACTGACTTTTAAAAATGTATCTTATTTAATTTTTATTAAAAAGTTGAAAATTGCTTAACTTATTTTGATGATTTAAAGCAATGTAAAAACATACGTTGTCATAACTTATTAATCATATAATTTTTTTTACAGTGCAGTATTGCAAAGTATGTTCAGAGGAAAATGCTTACTTATGGATTTAGACAAAATACCAAGCCAAAAAAAAACAAAAAAACTTGCAGACTGGCCAAGCTGTTGGTTTCTCTTGGTTTTAGTGTGGTTTTTAATGTACACTAAAAGTATACATTTGATTCTGAAGCTCTACTTAAGTTGTATGATTTGTAATGATCAAATCAAAAACCCTAAGTTTGAGCAACAGTTTAGTAATGCTTGCAAATAATGATTGACATGCATTTGGCCTAATTGTGAGTCCAAGAGGAAAAATTTAGCCTTCGCTGGCTAAGCATAAAAACTATGACTGCCAGGATGAATATTTTGTCTTTTTGCTTTTGCAGCTCTGGTTATAGACCATTTTGCAAGATGTAAACAACACTGGTCCAGAAGCACTTCCTGTTTCAGTTTGTAACTGTTTTCTTTATTTCACATGTAAAGAAAACATCTTAAAGATGTTTGTTTAACTTTTTGATTCAGTTTTATATGTCCTGTTGGTTGTATTTTATCCCAGCTTTTATGTAGTGTTAAAAAACTGAAACAGGAAGTGCTTCTGGACCAGTGTTGTTTACATCTTGCAAAATGGTCTTAAGTGAATCAATGTCACATATTAACAGTAACATATTAACATACAGTTTCAACTCTCTATTCTGATTGGATATTGTCTTTGAAGCCATAAACAGCTGATACACTGACGAGATACCCTGGTAATTTTAGCGATGACCCTGCTGTAATTTGAACATTTTCAAGGCAACATTGTTTTATAGCTTACAAATCTTGTTATTGTCAGTATAGTTAATGTTTTGCCCCAGTGTTTAAACTGGTACTCTTAGTATATGTCATATATCCCTTGATCTGATACCCACAGGGCTCCTACCCCATCATTATTCCTCAGTTACTGGCACAAAACTGGCTCTGCTCTATTCTGACTTTCTAGCCAAGAAAGCGTCAGAGCAAATTCAGCTTTGCCTCTCAGGCTGCAATCTGACATCGGTTTACTTTTGTTCTTGAAAGAGTACGAGTTTCATCCAGAATGACGCTTGACTTGTATGGGGCAAGAGGACTCTTGAGTAAATTTGCACATATGAGGAAGGGGGGAGGGGAGGGGGGCAGATTTCGTTCCACAGTTTGATTAAATTTCACATGTGGGACCTCCCAGAAAACGCTCCACATTAGTTTATAGAAAATGAGCATCATTTTACCGGGACAGTAAGGGCCTTTTACCTGCATGTCATAAAGGTTAACATGAACACTTGTTATAAAAATATTCTGAAAAATGGAGCTTTAAACACAGGTTTATTTTCTTAAGGCAGCAGTGCTGTTGCCTGTAGGGCCAATTGACCCGTGCTGCTCTGTGGCAGTGCACTACTGACTCTTTGAACTTGTCGTGTTGTTCAGAAAGTCCAGCTCCAGGGGCTGGTAAGGAAGTGAGGAGGGAGCTCTGGGGGAAATTGGCCTTTACCCAAGGGGGCCGAGTCTCCAGCCCCTGAGGTCCATGACACTACACAGCCACAATCTGGTTTTAAAACACACACCATACTGCTGGACTTAAACAGGAGGTGGTGTCTGGCCAGAACAGCAGCCCAGGTGAATGAAAGAAAGCACCTTTATAACAAGCTTTAAGGGTGAATATGACCAAACACCGAGCAAAAACACACGCCCATACTGGGGAATTCATAATTGTGTTTAATCTCCAGAATCAATGCTATTTGTGGCATGCTGTCGATTAAAACAGAATCATCTGTCAGTTTATAAACCAATACATTTTGAGAGTAATGGACCTAATGGAAGTCTGTGGGTACAGGCGTCACTCTAGAATAAATATTAAAATATACTGTTAAAAACATTTCATATTTTTGAAAGAAGTCTCTTCTGTACACCAAGGCTGCATTTATCTAAGCCAAAAACAGTAAAAACAGGAATGTTGTAAAATATTATTACAATTGAAATTGAAAACAATTTTGACTGCTTAATATTTAAGGGTTATAACAACATGCCTTTAACACTACACTTCTGTGGCTATTTTCATGTTGAGGAAAGTTTAAACTATATCAGTTTTACTTTATTCGAAACTATTTTTCAAAATTTCTCTCAAAAATATTTATTTATTTTTTCAATATATAAAAAAACTTTAATAATAGCAAATTGCTATTAACATGGAGCAAACTTTTCACCACAGAAAAACAAACAAAACCTCAAAACCTTTTTGACTCGAAGGATACTGCATTCTCCAGTATCAACAATATTTGTAAAACGCCAAATTTCTCCATTTATGCCAAGATTATTGTGTATACCTGATGTAATTTTTAAAAAGCTTCTTGTTTTCCATTTCTTTATTGATACTTAATTAACATGGCAATTAATTTATATTAAAAAAATTAAATTTAGGCTTTTAGTCACATATAAACATTGATCAGTGAATATAAACTGAGAATGAACCTAATTGGTTCTTGCTGAAGCTCAAATGTGCTGCGTAAAATGAGAATGAACCTAATTGGTTCTTGCTGAAGCTCAAACATGCTGCGTAATACGAGAATGAACCTCATTGGTTCTTGCAAAAGCTCAAATGTGCTGCGTAACACGAGAATGAACCTCATTGGTTCTTGCAGAACCTCAAATGTGCTGTGTAACCTGAGAATGAACCTCATTGGTTCTTGCAGAAGCTCAAATGTGCTGCGTAACCTGAGAATGAACCCCATTGGTTGTCGCTGAAACTCAAATGTGCTGCGTAACCTGAGAATGAACCTCACTGGTTCTTGCATAAGCTCAAATGTGCTGCGTAACATGAGAATGAACCTCATTGGTTCTTGCAGAAGCTCAAATGTGCTGCGTAACCTGAGAATGAACCTCACTGGTTCTTGCATAAGCTCAAATGTGCTGCGTAACATGAGAATGAACCTCATTGGTTCTTGCAGAAGCTCAAATGTGCTGCGTAACCTGAGAATGAACCTCATTGGTTGTCGCTGAAGCTCAAATGTGCTGCGTAACCTGAGAATGAACCTCATTGGTTGTCGCTGAAGCTCAAATGTGCTGCGTAACCTGAGAATGAACCTCATTGGTTGTCGCTGAAGCTCAAATGTGCTGCGTAACCTGAGAATGAACCTCATTGGTTCTCGCTGAAGCTCAAATGTCAAGTCAAGTCACATTTATTTATATAGCACTTTTCACAATGCAGATTGTATCAAAGCAGCTTCACAGTGATAAATGTGCTGTATAACACGAGAATGAACCTCATTGGTTCTTGCAGAACCTCAAATGTGCTGTGTAACCTGAGAATGAACCTCATTGGTTCTTGCAGAAGCTCAAATGTGCTGCGTAACCTGAGAATGAACCCCATTGGTTGTCGCTGAAGCTCAAATGTGCTGCGTAACCTGAGAATGAACCTCATTGGTTCTTGCAGAAGCTCAAATGTGCTGCGTAACCTGAGAATGAACCTCATTGGTTGTCGCTGAAGCTCAAATGTGCTGCGTAACCTGAGAATGAACCTCATTGGTTCTCGCTGAAGCTCAAATGTCAAGTCAAGTCACATTTATTTATATAGCACTTTTCACAATGCAGATTGTATCAAAGCAGCTTCACAGTGATAAATGTGCTGTATAACACGAGAATGAACCTCATTGGTTCTTGCAGAAGCTCAAATGTGCTGCGTAACCTGAGAATGAACCTCATTGGTTCTTGCAGAAGCTCAAATGTGCTGCGTAACCTGAGAATGAACCTCATTGGTTCTCGCTGAAGCTCAAATGTGCTGGGTAACATGAGAATGAACCTCATTGGTTCTTGCAGAAGCTCAAACGTGCTGCGTAACATGAGAATGAACCTCATTGGTTCTTGCAGAAGCTCAAATGTGCTGCGTAACCCGAGAATGAACCTCATTGGTTCTCGCTGAAGCTCAAATGTGCTGGGTAACATGAGAATGAACCTCATTGGTTCTTGCAGAAGCTCAAACGTGCTGCGTAACACGAGAATGAACCTCATTGGTTCTTGCAGAAGCTCAAATGTGCTGCGTAACCTGAGAATGAACCCCATTGGTTCTTGCAGAAGATCATACGTTGTGCGTAACACGAGAATGAACCTCACTGGTTCTTCCTGAAGCTCAAACATGCTGCGTAACACGAGAATGAACCTTATTGGTTCTCGAATGTCAAGCAAGCATACTTGAGCTGATGTGTTTGTTGATGACATTTTTTATTGAATAAAAGCCTAAATTAAATCTGTTCATCATATAAAGTGATCATGACTTCAGAAAATCTCTTTATGAACTTTTTGAAGCGACAATGTGGTAGTTGTGTGGATTGTCAATGGAGGGAGTGAAATCTCAGATTTCATTAAAATGTCTTCATTTGTGTTCTGAAGATGAATGAAAATCTTTGACATAAGGATGAATAAATAATGACAGAATTTTAATTTT